TAATATATTTAGCGTCATTTTTATTAATTGTATTTCTTTTTAAGATAACATATGTATACATACTGTTATAATATTTAATGCTTTAAATATGAAAAATATATATTTCTTAAATAGTAATTTCTAATATTAAGAATAATGATTAAACGTAATATTTACAAATCTTTAAAGAGATTAAGTAAACAAACATTAAATGATTTTGATATAGAAATGCAATTAACATATTGCAGACTTACATATGTGATGTCTTGAAATAATATTAATTTAAAAAAACTGTGCATACGAAGAAAAAAAAATATTATTTTTATAACTTCTTCTAAGCGCTCATTTAATGCAAATTTAAGTAATTTTAAACAAAAAATAAATGTATATATATGAAATTTTTATATTTAAATATTTTATATTTAAATATTTTATTATTAAAAATACATACATCAGTTAATATCTTTCCATGATAGCTATCAATATGATTAATAAAAACACGCCAGGGCTTAAAATGCGGTTTCATATTTTCAGTTTTCAAGTTACGATCCTCTTGTCGTTTTCGAGCTGCTTCAAAACCAAATAGATCGTCCAAAGTGTCCGCAGCAGTTGATTCAATTATTGATGTATTTCGTTTGCTATCCATGTTCAATACGAGACATATATAACTATTATATCATATAAATATTTTATGATATTTTGGGATATAAAATTATGTAAGAGCAAAACACGTTTTTACAAATGACATTTCTAGATTGCTAGTTGCAACTTCAATCCAATAGGAAATACATTGCATCCATATATGCGTGATACATATAGAGTGCCTTGAATTTTATAATAATATTGTTATTGTGTGCATTTTAAGATAATGTGAGAATTTTAACTCTCAGTTGTTAATGACTACTGAGATTAAAAAATGCAAAAAGAATGTAAAATATTTTATATACCGATAATAAAACCAGATTTAACCGATGCTAATTAATATTCGATTATTAATTTCAAGTTGTACACATACACATACACACATACATACATATATATATATGTATATGCAAAATCAGGTCAAACATTACAGATGCGTTTATTATTAGTAATGAGATTAATGAATATGGCATGGCATGAACGCTTGAGGATTATATAAATAATTGTATAAAAAAGATAAACAGAGGAAATATGAGGATTGTCAATCTCTCTAATACGATTCTGAGACATGTGTACATTTCCAATTCTAGGACAATTCCTTTGAGAAAAGCTATCTACTTATTTTAGACGAGAATTGAAATTATAAGCAACAGATATATAAAAATATTTATTGTTTTTAAATGAAAATTTAAGTTAACATAAAATTATTTTAAAAGTTTATTTTATTAGGCGATTTATATAATTTATATGATATTTTAGAACAAAATTTAATTTTTATTTTATCACACACACACATACACATAAATAAATATTTTTCTCTAGTTATAATATTTATTCTTTATGTATATATATATGTGTGTGTGTGTGTGTTTTTCAAATATTATAAAATATTGTATTATATACAGCAAAAATATAATTAAATATAACTCGAATATATATATGAATATAAAGTAGCAACAATAATACAAAATGGTAATATTAAATAGTAATACAAACAGTAATACAAAAACAAATATATTCACTCAGCGCAAAACACTTTAGAAATAATACATTCCAGCAGCGTATTTTGACAAGAAAACGTGAGGAGAAGAAAAAGACACAAAGGATCTGAAGAGTCTCTGAAAGGCGAGAGGTAAAAGAAAAAGGTCAAGGACATTGACATTCAGTAAAATATCTTTGAGCAGCAATGTTTTCTACATAAATTATATAAATTCGTTCACTCTTATCTACATATTAAACGCAATTTTATAAATTGTCATTATCAACAAAGCTATAATTGTTCAGTAATTGAATTCACGTAAATAACAAGAATCCTTAGAATCATCTAACGTCGTTCACATTATCTGCGGATCACAGTAAAGTCACGTAGGCAAAGGATGTAAATTCCATGTTAGCCTTGTAAGGAGCATCCTAACATAGCACGCAAACCATTATTCGAGCTTCCATATTATCTTTGCAATATAGAAAAAGGGTCAGGGTCAGTGAGCATTCCGTACAAAAAATGAACAGGCGCTAAATATAAAAAAATATTTATATATTTGATGAGATAATTAAATGCGTCCATTAATCTATGACAATTCGATTAATAAAAGAGAAATTAATAGAATAAAAAAGTATAATAATCTATTTTTGATTATTGCTAATTCAAGTGCCTATGTATCTTAGAATTCAAAGTTTAGAGATTATATTAATAATAAATAATTTATAATAAAATTATACAAATTTGTCTTAATAATTTTTAATTAAGAACAATATATACATTTATATTAGAACATTCATTTTTTATTAAGAACGGTGAATTTAATGTTTTGGAACAATTGGCGGCAAATTCCTCAAATTCAATTTGAATACAATTAATTAAAATTAATTAATTATAATAATAATAATAGTATAATTTATTATAATTTTATATTAATTCTGTATTAATAATTATTTTGATTTATTAAAAATATGATCTTTTTAATTTAAAAATGTCTATATAAAAAATGATTAACGTTTATAATGTTTTAAAAATGTGAATTTTGAATAAAAGTTTTCTTTTTTATATAAAATTAAAGATTAAAATATATAATATATAATATATAAAATATATGTAAAATTAAAGATTTAAAAAAATATAAAATATATAAAAAGTATAAAATATATAATATTAATGTAATTTATTTATTATACGGGAAAAGTATAATAACAGGTATTATAGCAAGAAAAATCTCTTGAGACATCAAGAAAACATAACTTAGTTATTACTTGACCATCGCGAGATACAAGGATTAGAAGTTATATGTGATGGCAGTAACCCCGTAATTCACTAAAGCTCATCAATCACTTTACCGTATACATCGTTGCGTCCGGCACGGCACAGACGAAGAAGTATCTCGTAAATCGTACGCGCACTGCAAACTTCGGATTCATCACGTGAATATGGGCTATTGCAATGTAAACACACACAATGTGAAAACACACTGGACAACTAGTAACTTACGATGACATTCGTTTTCAACACCATTAAAAGCTGTTGTTAATCTTCCTGTTGACTGTATAAAACGGCTTTTAAAAAGAAAATAAAAAATAAAATGATGAAGAGATATATATTTTTCAGATACAGTTTAAATATATGTAATAAAATATTGAAATATACAATAAATAAATTGAAAATTAAATTATGAATTATATATAAAAATAAATACTAAAAAATTAAATTATAAAATTTAAATAGAGATAAATTTCTTGTAACATTGTTAGATTTTTATTGCGAGATGTTATTTCATAAGTTTCATGAGAGTATATTTTATATATTTTTTCTCTCTTCTAATAAACATTCTTATTTATAAAAAAAAATTGTTGTATTAAATTGCAATGCGATTGTATTCGGGATATTATTAATAAACTGACTCGATGCAACGTACGTAAAAATTAACTCGATACAAGATATTTCTTATCTTATAATAATGAGTAAAAATTTTAACAATAAACCGATATAACAATATAACAATAAACCGATGAGCATTTTTATATATTCGTCGTTCTTATATTTTGCTCCGTATGCATTGCAAGTGTCATGAAGCAAAAATCTATGTATGTTGTTTTGTTTACTGGTTTTGTTTTCAAAGATAAAAAACACACTCTGTGTACCATTTTCTATTTTTTAAACCATCGTGATACGTAAAAAGAATAAAGGAGAAAAAACGTGATATGAACTTCTACATGCGCAATTTAGTCAGTCAAAAGTCCTGTGTGATCAATTGCATATCGATTTCCTGTCACTTTCCATATGACATATGTAGTAATATTTTCAACAACCTTTGACGCGTGGTGACTCGCTTGTGCAAAATAATCTTCTATGGTAAATATGTCACAAAATAGAAAATGGAAATACCACTAAATAAGAACATGACAGGAGAATATGCTCAATATTTTCAAAACAAAAAACTTGAAAAAGTCATCTCTTTTTAAAAATTAAGCATTTGCATACAAAATTTTATCTGCTTTTAGAAAAAGGCAAGACATAAAATATAAGATAATTATGATGACTATTAGTGCACAACCTGTGATATTAAGATAAGACATAATATTCCAAAAGAGGAAATACATCATAGTGTGTATATACATGTAACTCATGATTCATTTCACGTTAAAGTAAAAGCAAAGATATTCTTGTCATTAGTAGGACATTCATTGTTCCCTACATAAACGAGAACGGAAAGCTCGTTCAACCACGAAGAGTAGTGGTGTGCTTCTCTTCATTTGCGCCAGCCAAACTAAGAATACCTCTTTTTTGTCGTAGAATGCGCACAATAGTATATTTTCCATCAAATATACGCAATTTACTTAAAGCATATTTTACGTTTTATTTGCATTTTTTTCTATTGCACAAGTTTAATAAAAGTTATACAGGATTTTTATATTCTCTTTAGCAACAGAGATATTCCATCTATTAAAAAATAACGATTTTAAATATGATATCCTCATATAATTAATAACAATTACAAACTATGACTTTTTTTATCTCAAATCACGTACTCTCTCCTTAACATTTCATGACACTACGATGCAGTGAATATTTTATTCAACCCTTTCACTGCGTTACGGTTTGCCTACGCAAACGTAGCACTCCATGAAAACGTTTAAATGGTTTTTCACAAGAAGCAGGTAAAAATATATCAAATACTGATTTTATATCGTGTAACTATATCACTGATTATATTACATAACATATATATAATATCATAGAAATACAATTATATATATATATATATATATATATATATATATATAAAATTAAATGTTTATTTATAATTTCATAATTAATTGCTTTATGATTTTAATTAATATTTATTTAATTTTAATAAAGTATTAGTAAAAAATGCTCCATTTTACAGAGGAATGGAGCGAAAATTTTCCCTATCAGCTATTGATAGCGGCAGGAGTGGCCCTAGTTGGTCTACTTCTCTTAGCTGCGGTGAGTTTCCAATGCTCTTCCACTTGGCGATGGTTGATAAACATGACTCGACATGAGAATATCGAAGATACTGGGACCGATCAAACTCAACAAAATGCGATCCGAATCAGCCATTCTCTTCCAGACCTACAATCGGAACCGATCACTCACGAATATGTTCAGGAGCAAAAAGAGAATAAGAAGGTATTGTCAGCAAAATCGAATCAATATGACATCCCGCATTTCTAACATTTCTCAGTTTTATGCTTGTCTCAATATTAATATTTCGTCTCAGGTGTTGCGTCAAACCACTCTGCCCATCGTACCAATGAGACATCAAAGTTTTCAACGTCAGCTATCGCATCGCCTTGATTTGCCTAACATTAAGTTCAGTATTTGCAGCTTGGAAAATCGCAGCGATTCTAGCCTTGGTCTTATTAAGGTATTTAGCTAATATTCCATTTTTGTTACGATAGATATCGAAATGCAAACGTCAATGAATTGCCATTTGATTTTTTGTGAAACAAGCTTATCATATAATACAAAGTTCCATTTCCTATTCATCTTTTATTTATTGTTGGTAATTAATCAGTGATATAAATATATGAAATAAATATTTTAGTTAACTAAAATTAGAAATTTTTTATTTATAATTTATATTTATATTGATGTAAACTATCAATATCGCAGCCGGAATTATATAAAAAAGAGCTCGTGAGACAGGAGAGTGCTGAAAGCTCTAGTACAACAGAGATGGAATACGCCGGAAAGCTACATTTCGCTCTTCGCTATGACAAGGAAATCGAAGGACTCGTTGTTAAAGTAAGTCAGATTAATATATTTAAGAGCTATCACAAAGCACAATTAAATTAAAATAAATATTAGGTAGTATATTATAAATAATATGACTGAATGTGTTTATTCGAATAATACGGCAATAAAAAAATTATAACTGATATATATATATATATATATATATATATATATATATATGTATATATATATATTTTTTTTATTTTATTTAAAGACATAAAAAATATTAAAGAAGATAGATTTAATTTTCTTAACACTATGCAATTTTAGCCAACTAATAAAAAATAATAATAAATAGAAATATCTCTTATTTTCCACGCGTACGAATTAGTAAGTTTGCATTTAAACTAGGTTTGCGAATTGAAAATATGTATCTAGGTTATATTCAGCACAAATGAGAGATATTGGATAACGATAATGAAGTATCAGAATATTGCATTTATGATGGACACATATCCTCTGCTCCACTGTCATTAACCGCGTGGTAACGCGAATTAGTAATGTCAGTTATATTAAGCTATTCTTGTACGTGGCGAATTCAAATTCATTTAGATTAGTTATACATATATACATACGCAGGCCATGTTTCATAGTAGATAAATTTAAACATACGATGCTATTATCGGCCTTTGTTATATCGACCTTTTCCGTGCGTTCTTTGCATTACATAACTTTTTATAGAAATACAATATTTTAAAATTGTCGTGCGTACGTTTATTTGTAAGAGAAAATCAGGTCTTGTACTCTGATTACATAATACTTACGATGACGTAACAAGTTTTTTATTAATCAATCTTTTTTACTATTAAGTATAAATTTAAATATATAAGGTAAAGATAGCATTTAATATTATTTTCATCTGCATCTTTCTTTGAAAACATAATATTGGTATTATTTTTATTCTTTTCAATGTGAAACCCATCAAGTTTGATGATATTTGATTCTTTGATGTTAGGTTCTGGAAGCTCGTGAATTGCCAATAAAAGATGTAACAGGCAGCAGTGATCCGTACATCAAAGTGTATCTCTTACCAGATCGAAAGAAAAAATTCCAAACAAAAGTACATCGAAAGAATTTGAACCCGATATTCAATGAAACGTTCATCTATAGGTAAGGCAATATATTTACAATTCAATGCATCTCTAAAGATTTATAACATTCACTTATGTGTTAAATAATTATGTAATAATGATAATTATTGTAAAAGAAATTATAAAACTAGAGCTAAAAATTTGATGTATAATTTATCTTGTCAGCGTGTCATATGAAGAACTACGAGAACGTTATATACAATTCTCGGTCTACGATTTTGATCGCTTTTCACGTCACGATCTCATTGGACAAGTAGTTCTTAAAGGACTTTTAGATTGCACCGATCTTGAACAAGAAATTGAATATACGATGGATATTCTCTGCGCCTTACAGGTAGCTTTATTTTTTGATAAAAATGAGATAAATACTTAATCATTCCGAAGCAGAGTGTGAGATAAACATTTAATTATTTTAAAGCAGTTATTTTGATCGCAATTTTATAACTTTTTTCAACATTATTTACAGGAAAAAGTAGATCTAGGAGAATTGATGTTGTCATTGTGCTATTTACCAACAGCCGGTCGATTGACATTAACCGTGGTCAAAGCCAGAAATCTTAAAGCGATGGATATAACAGGCAAATCAGGTGCTTACAAAATCGGATCTAATTTGATCCTCTTTTATCCTCTTTCAATATTATTGATAAAATATAATCTCTCAGCAGAAATGTTTAATATTATCAAATTGATTACTTCTCTTTTGTAATAAAAGAAAATATATTTTATATTGAAATATATTTTAATAAAATTTTAATTGAAATATATTGTAATAAAAGAAAATATATTTTATATTTAAATTTGTTTCGTCTCGTCATTAGATCCTTACGTGAAAGTTTACCTGCTATGCCAAGGTAAAAGGATAAAGAAAAAAAAGACGACAGTCAAGAAGAATACTCTTTATCCTATCTATAATGAGGCACTTGTCTTTGATGTTCCGGCGGATAACATCGAGGATGTCAGTCTGATAGTGAAAGTGATCGATTACGATAGGTAAGAGAAAATTTTTGGCGCATAATGTAGAAAATTTTTGAATAAAAAATTAAATTTAAATACTAGGATTGGTTCGAATGAACTGATGGGATGTACGGCAATTGGATCGAGCTTCATTGGGATCGGTCGAGATCACTGGCTAGAGATGTTGGATAATCCGAGAAAACCGGTAGCGCAATGGTATCCATTGATGGAGACCATATCTGGCCATATTCCAGCCATGGATTCGGACGCACTTCCAATAAGCTTGAGCTGCTTAAACAGGTAGGTGAATTAATTAAATCTCATCCGCGTCATTGCAGTTAATTAAAGTGTTTTAACACCTCTTCTCTTATTGTTAGTAGAAATGGAAATTAATTCTTGCACGATAAGACTATAAAATTCTATTTTCAACGATTCTGATAAAGCTTGGCGTTGCAGATGAAGACAAAAGACGGAAAATAAATATTGCGGGAGCTCGCAAATATTATCGGACGTCGGCTTGGACATTGTCTCCTTCTGTCGTCATTTAATGCACATCGCTTGACTGACTTAAGTACAATCTCTGTCTCAAAAGGCCGGAAGGCGAATTCTGTGCTTTGTAACCTTACCTCGTGCAGCAGGCATAAAATAATAAACGATCCAATGTAGTAGAAAGCTCGATAATATGCGAAACATACGTTGCTCAATTCCAACGATCTGATGATGATCGTGACGGAAACGAGATCAATTTGCATTGCTTTATCTTTCTATCGTGATAATATGCTCGCGATTGGGTGCAGGCTGGTCCCGCACCATTTTAAACACAAGTTGTATTCACAATAGAATCCCGTAGAATTCCCTGTTATACGTGATGTTGAGCATGACGATAGCTTAAATGTTTTTAGATTAATACGAGAAATCAGATATACATAAGTATACATACAGATATTTTATAGAAAATACATAAATGCGAGGACATATAAGGCCTTACCCTCGATAAAGGCGAGACCGAAAGAGCGCAGGCAAGATTCAGATGACAGATCATTAACTGCATTAGCAGCAAAGTACAAGTACTGAATATCGATAGTATTTCTAAGATAGTACAGATACTGAACGCGCGCGTTGGATCTCTACATGCATCGTTTATTATTTCACGCTCGCTAGAATTTCTGCGTAAATGTTCTATTAACGTGATACATGTTTAAATATAATGCCCGACAATGGGCACTATTTGTGATAATGTATCTGGCATGTAACATTCATATACACGTATAAGCAACACATATAACGTGATTTTGACGATCATATATATCAGTAGTCGCTTTGTATATGCATGTACGTTTGTAATCGATGCGACTATTGGATTGTGAACCTGATAATAAATAATAATATATATTTAGATCATATGAGGAATTATATATATTGCAGAAGAAAAAAGAACAAAACCGCGCAATGTGTGAACACACACAATCCTCTTAATATATAACAAATATATAATTTATGTACATGCGTATGTTTAAAAATATAATCAAAAAATAATTCTCTATAAATTTAATATAAATAAATTTCAGCGAGAAATCTACTTAATTTCTTTGAGAATTGTGTTTATGATCAGATTTATGAATGTCTCTGTAATGATTAAATCTATAAAAGAATTGTACTTTAATATATTTTTAAATGCAATTTTTTGACGTTTATATATATACGGGATATATATATAGGAAAGAATCTGAATACCTAAGAAATATGGGCGTTTCTGGAAAATGGCTGACAATATAGATAAATTGATAATTGGATAAGTCAATTTTTTCTATGAAATGAGGATTTGATTTGAGTACAATATGTGTTATGTTCTTTCGATTAAAATATTGAAATGTGTTTAAATTTAAATTTAATCGAGCGCTTGTCAATCGCATAAAGAAAATGAAAGATATAAGTTATACTACGGAAAAAGTATATACGTAATTTACATATATATATAGAATTATATATTATACAAAATATATAGGTAAAAATAATATCAAAACTAATAATATATTTCGAGTGACGTATTGATTAATGGAAAATGTGCCAATAAAAAATAACAATGTAGCAGCAGTAGTATGATTAAAAGTAATAGTTTTTCCAATCACACATGCTTAATATAGAAACTTTAGTCTGCTCGCTATAGTAATCCTAGAGTATCCCACTAATAAGTATATATTTCGAGTCAATATATTTCGATTATATGCCTGCCTGTAAGTCGTAAGGAACATCTTTCTAAATCCTCGAAAATGTTTCATCTACTCCATTGTTCCAGCGATGCCCATGGAGGTAAAAAAATAGAAAAAAAGAGAACATGCTGTATTTTTTGTACAAGTGGATCACTCTATACCACAGGACTGAGCTCTCTTTCTCAAATAAACTCTATGTAGTAAGTGAATTCAGTTGCTTCATATTGAGAGTAGCGCTTAAACGAATCCGAAGAAACCTGTACTTATGTAAGAACGTGATTTAAAATGTGAACTCCCAATGCTAATGCTGCTAAATTATTTAAATCTCTTCCGGATACGAAGCTAAAGTAAACTTTCATTTAATTTTTATTACGTACACTTTAGTGAAAAATGTGCTTTTTATTTACTTCAAATACGAACAACTTATAATTTATAAAATGAAATGCGAACTCTTTTCCTGCTGGATTATAAAATTTTAAATACATATTTCTCATGAATTTAGAATTTGCGTAAAATAAATTATATATAAATGAATGCACGTATATGTAATAATTAATTTATCACAATTGTTTGAACTTATGAATGCGTACTTTGTTTAAAACCTACTCTAATTATGAATGCGATCGTGTTCTCACACACGTAGTTAATTTATGGGCAAGTAACAATAATACCGATATGGACGATGTGTATACTTTTCTAACGAGTACATATCTATATTGTATATTCGAGCACACAGTGCTCTTCTGTTATGTTCGTGAATGATACAAATAAATCGTAACAAAGCAGATTATTGTTCCATTCTTACCTTCATATATGCTTAATTATTTCCAATAATATTAAATTATAGAATTAAAATATCGAATTTGTCGGTCAAAGTTATAAAGAAAAAGGATCGTCTGCAACATCAAATGTACTTTTCATTTATTTGACTACTTATCTTTACAGATTATTCTAGCTTATGCTAAGATACAACTTTCCCATTATGTTATCTCTATAATCGAAACATTACAATACTTCTAAGTATAAAATAAGCGATAGAGCTTATACTGGTATGTAGCAACGAGACTTAAGTATTTCTCTACCTAGTAGTACTTCTTAAAAGTGGCGGGAATAAATCTGTACCGTGTATATCCCGTCAACGACGAGGTGATCGTCGATGCCCGTGATTACGTGATTTGGCTTTGTCGGAAATCATACGAAACAAGTGTCGACGCTCTTTCGACGGTACGCCCTTGCCATCCTACATTCATCGATTAAATCGTCATGGAAATCACGCTGTAACTTGACCGGCAAAACAATCTTAGGCCTCTAATTACAATTTCGTTCACGAACGCGATCGATTGGTCGTGCTTTCGCTGCGTGCGTGTATCTCCTTAATTAGGGATGACAAAAACGTTCACCGTCGAAATGGTCCGTGTATCGGCAGGAAGCTCGATCCTGACTTGATGTAATCTCACGTTAATGTTCCGTAAATCGGAAGAGCTCAACCATGATTCGCGCGGCGCGGATGGGACGCAAAAGTTAGATCACGTCGCTTGTTCGGAGTCAATGATGCTTATAAAACATTATTCGGCACAAACGATATACGGCGAGCCTCCATTGGATCCGCGCGAACGTGGTTGCTCCATTTTTCATGGACTACGGGTGTATATTGACTATTTGTGTGTGATGTAAAAAAATGATCGTACATAACAAAAGCTTTTTCGATTGATTTTACACACACTTTTTCTCTCCCTTTCTCTCTCTATCTCTCCTTCATGAGATGACCAAGATATCAATTTACCATCCTGTTGAGCTTCTTCGCTATGGCTTTGACTACTTTCTCCGTTTCCCTCCTGCGTCCTGTTTTTAAACAGTCCCTTTTGAGAGGCTTAAACCAGACTTAGGTAGATAATACGAGCCTAATAAGTAAGCGCTTAAGTGTTATATCCGTGTCGCGTGTGTTTTGCAGCGTCGTTCATCTCTCGTTTCCAGCCCGTGATTACGCTTATAAAACATTAAAGACGCATCGATTAATCTAGATGTAAGTACTTCTCTATGGGCAGCTCGCGGTATATGTGAACGAACCGGATAAAATTTTACACAGTTTCTCGCGCCTTCCTCGTAATAGTAATGTAGGTAAGTAAATTATTATCACTTAACACGCAAACATTAAGAGCCTTATCCGACGAATATACAAATCTATGCTCCTGTATAGATAATCGTTAGTATTAAGTACGTTAATGTGTAACCACACAATCGTATAATAATAAGAATATTAATAATAATATAATGACAATAAATCGTAATAATAATATAGGCAAACTCTTGTAGCGTTGTACTTAGCGTTATTTAAAATATTTAGCGATATTTTTTTTTTTATGTACTGAAATGTTCAAGTACGCGGACAGAAATCGATTTGAGTTAACTTCTTTTATATATATTAGCAATATGGAGGGAATTCACTAACAACTTGCTTAAAGAGTGCAGCACATTCTCACACATCTATAAACAAATATAAAAACTCTTTTTATGCGTGACTTCTTGTCACTCCGATGCATTTTCACCCATTACGCTGCCTTCGCGTTCATTATAATAATGAGAAAATGGGTGCCGTCTAGTCGAACACATCGTACTTGCAAGTATGTGTCACTATTTTTTTTAAATTCGACTTTATGAACGAGGAGCGGTTTGCCAATTTTATTTCTTTCTTTCTTAGCTTAATTAATCTGAATATATGCACAAATGCAATTATAAATTAATAAAAAGCAGGAAATGCAATTGGAATGTCCTTCTCTTTTTCGCGTTTGTAACTGTAATTTTATAATAAAAATAAAATGTCGATAGAGAGTATAGCGTCTATACATCAATACACGTAAACATTTAAATGCGTGATAGAAATTCTTTTCCACACGTATGCGACAGAGTTAGCGATATTATTGAAAGCACTCAGACACAACCCTCAATCCTTGATTTTTTTATCCCTTTCGTTCTATTCTTTGATTGCCATCTTTCTCGGTCATTCATTTTTGTTTTTTTTGTTTTTTTCGTGCGAACGAAACCAACAGAACAGTATTAACGATCATGCAAAAGCACGCCCATAACGAGAGTGACAATACACCATTATTAACACGTTGCACACGTAACATTCTTCTATATGTTTAAAAATTGTACGATTATCGGTTGTGCAAGCGGATTGCCACCTGATCGTCCGATGCACAGCAGGAGTCGATATTACAATCGTAACGCTACCGTGATCTCGCAAACTCAAGGTGATTGATCGCTTGAAAACGACGGCACTATGCCTTTACTTTACTTTATACATCTACACGTATAAACAGTACGGCATTTTTTTTTTAATGTATCGATATCTATATAAATGCTGAGGATCGCAGATGATTCATGACGATTAATCGACGGTAATCCTTGACTAGAACACATATCAAAGTATCGAAAATCTATTTCATGCCGTAGTATCAAACTCGATATTAGTCATTAAAACTTGATTTTTCCCAATATTGAAAGTTTCAATATTTATGAAAATTGTTAAAAATACGAAAGATTTCGGTTATTTTATAAAAACTCTATAAGCTGCTTTTATTAATATTGCAACTTGCATATTCCAGATTTTTTCACTTTTTAAGTCCGATAATTAACTAGATCGTTGCTAAAATCGATCATCCCCATTCAATTAGTACAATAAACATGATTAATTCATTAGCTGCAATTTATAATATAATTGTATAATATAAATATAATTGTATAATAATAATTATATATAATACAATCTATTTTACGGCATTTTCTTAAAACATCGCGATAATCAACTGCGATCCGTAAGACATTCGCTCCAAATAGATTACATTTATGCTCTCTTTTTTTCCTTATCGTATTCTCTCCTCTTTCTTTTTCCTTTCTCTCTCTGTCTCTCCCCTTTTTCTCTCTCTCTCTTTCTTCGCGCCCTTGCAACTCATCATTCTCTCGTATACACAAAGATATTTTGACTACTGTTGCGATAACTTTGGAAATATATCCGTTATAGTCATATGGCTATTAAACAGTGACAACAGAATAATTTCTCCTTAAGTAGATAAATAATTACTTGTTACACAAGATTAACCCAGATGACGACAAGACACTATATTCAGAATACGTACAAACAACTGAAGGCTATACCTATACGATATCGTGTTTTACGACTTCTTCGCGAAACAGGGTTCAGAATGACAATAGTATTTAGTAGTAATACCTACAAGACAGCTATCACACGTTCTACGATGACGTACGAACGAAAAAATGAAGCCAGTAATTCTACCACTTATGCACGATCAAGCATCTTCTTCCCCATCGTTGTTTGATGTAAGGTGTATATCTGCATTTTCTCATTCACATTTATGCTCATTCTCTCTTTCTCTCTCTCTCTCTCTTTCTCGTATACTCTATTCTATCGTCATTCGAGTCATCCTAGAGATGATGCATTTACACACAAACGATCCTTGACAAATCGCAGAATGTTAAGGATGAATTCGGGATGTTACTTTAGCCTAAATAACTTGCTTTGCTGATTAATATACGTCGCGTGCGAAAATACTAAGAAATATCCTCGCGAAAGTTAAGCTGGACGGCTTTGATAAAAATTAGGATCTCTTTTGAAGGACGCGAATATTAGGGTGTAGAAAGTGTAGCAGGAACTGATATCGTGATCCGGAGAATGATTACCGACGTGTTTCCGCACAGCATTCATTCCGGCGCATCGGCATCAGTGATACGCAGTGCGTTCGCAGTGCATGTAGTCCAAACTGAACGTACAAGGTGCTTAGCCAAAAAGTTCGACATGAGCGACATTAATACGTCTGCGAAGAATACAATGCAAATCTCTCGCGATAAAATACGCCTCTCTCCTTCATTCTCTCTGATATATACGGAAGTAAGCGCGCGCATGTGTATGTACGTGTGTGTATGTATATATATATAATATATGTATATATGTATATAACGTGAAGAATATATCCGTATTTACATTGGACATTAACGCTAAAGGTGTCGTGGCCAAATCCACGTGCAGTTTCAGGCATAAAAATAACGTATGTTCACACAGCTCCGCTGTCCCGTCGACGCGGTTCCTCACTTCGTATCAACGGTTATTTTCCCCGATAGAACGTATTTTTTTCTTTACGCCCGCGCGAACAATCCGCAAACAGCCGCGAATGTAGATAAGTAGATCCGAGTCTTCGTTAATTGACTAGCGTTTCGAGCGACACGCGTATAGTTTTCACGCTTTATTAGCTTGCAATGTGGATTTGACTCGGTAAAATTACGCACAGAGATAATGGGTTTGGAAATCTGATTGCATCTCGCGCTCTGTATCTTTCTTCGTTCGAGCTTCTCCTTACGGAAGCACTGCACGCAGCCACGAAAGCGAGTTTATTGCTGAACGTTAAGATCCAGAGCGTATTACATTGAAAAATACAGCACTCGTTTCATTGCCGCTCATTACACTTAATCCGAAATGACTGACAGATTATTTTGCATACTGAATAAATTGCGACGAATCTAAAACTAATGTCTGACGAGAAGCTGGCCCGTACAATTGTCGCACAAATAATATTCGTTTCTATTGCACATTCGTAAAATCTCGTGAGTGATTCACGATCAACGGGAATCACACGAACAAAGCGCTATTTGTCCGAGATATACATGTAGGTTCAAAATTGTCATATTATTTAAAAAGATAAGCGCAAAAGCTTGTTTTAATGTTTATGGGATACGCCTTAGTTTCTTAGGCGAAGAGAAAATCGTAATTTCAGTAACGCTGCTGGAACTCATGATGCCATCTGTTGAAGTCGATGTGGAATATCACAATGGACCCATTTGCCAGACCAGCTAGAAGAAACCTATAAAATAAAAGATAAGATATAACACTTGATTTTACAATAAAGTTCGTAAAATATATGCAAACATTGCGTCACATTATTAAACAATTTTAAAAACATATCTTTAAAATATCGAATTATATACTCACTTTTGATCATGAGCGAGCGCGAGAGAACGTACACTGCTTTCGCATGCAGGAAAAGCATAAAGTAGAGCAAGATTGAAAGTTCGCCAAACTTCTACGATACCCTTGTCGCCTCCTGTCATCAAGTATTCACCGTCTCTGCTCAATAGTAGACACTAAATAAAAAGAATCATAATGTTACCATATCATAAATTATGGAAAAAATTAACAATCGAAAATTACTTGTAAATTATCGTTGTGGCTCTCATGGCGAAGACGCTTTCCGTTTATGGTAAACGCCGCTATGTGTCCGCGCTCATAATTCACTACAATGACACCCTCGCGTGACATGGCAATGTTTTCCGGTGACGAAAATCCGTTGGGTGCTTCGAGCGATCTTAGGAGATCGCCGAAAGTAGTATGAACAAGTACTGGACCGTCTATAACATCGGATATCAAAATCATATATACATTAAACAGTTTGCATATGAATCAAAAATTATAGAATTTTTCTAGAAGAAATATTTTTCTTTTACTTCTTTTAGGATTTATTTTTCCTTATTTTTTAAATACGTACAATGCGACCCCGAGACAACTAATCCCAATTCGGCAGATATGACGACGGCTGTTACAGGCTGTTCGTGACCTGTGAGAGTGGCACGTGGTGCAGGTGCTTCACCTTCACCGACGATGGTTTGAGTTCTGGCATTCCAATGCCAGAGAAGGACGGTACAATCCGCGCTTCCAGACGCGATGTAGCAGTCAGAAGTAATGTTGCACTCGCTGCGCGATAAGCAAGTGACGACGCCGTAATGACCAAAGACTATCTGGACGATTTTCGCTACAAAAGACAATTTCTTAGTTTCTAAAGTTCTGTCATATGCAAACAATTATTATTTATTTATTTATTTGCAATTTCCCTATTTATTTATTATTCATTTATCGCGTATTTAGCGTGATTAATCAATTATAGGACATCAAGATTCACCTGTCTCGGTTGAAAAAACGCGGAAACTGTTATCCCAAAATCCACAGGCCACCAGAAATCGACTGTCTACAGTGGTGACGAAACAATTACTGCGAATTTTGAGCTTTTGGCTGAAATTATCGCCTAGATGTCGACGTTGTAACATTGGATTTGAGCTATTTGCCGCTTGAGCTAAAAATGTATAAAATAGCATTGTCAATCTCATATACATATATATATAATATTATTATTTAATTTATACATAAATGTATTTATATATATATTTACAGAGAACGGGATCCATAGATAATGGCTGATTAGCAGCCTGGGCCTGAGGAGTATCTGCATAGCTCGGAGATTGCACAGAGGCTACGAAAAGTTAAAATTACAGTAAGCAGATGATTGGAATTGATTTAAATGCTGAAACGTGTGGAAAATTTACCTGCATAATTGGTATTCCATCGATTAACAGCAAACTGTTGTCCGGTGGTTACCGTCACAACCGATGGCAGTGGCAATTGAGGATAAGTGTTAGCTGAGATGTGACAGATCGGCGAATTAGATGGAAATTTGATAGTCATGCACACGTCGTCCGGAATGCTTGAGAACATCATTGGTGACTAAAAATATATTTTTATTTTTTAAAATCGCGTCAAATTTTTCATACATATGCAATAGATTTAATATATATGTAATATATGTAATATATTAAGAAATGTCTTACCAAGTGCATCGCTGAACTTCTTGGAGGATGCGGCTCCATCAAGAGCTGCGACGGCGTCTGTCCGAAATTCTTAATTTGATTTTCTATAGCTTCCCTTATCATGGCATCGTTGATCGTGTCTAATTCCACGTTACCCTCGTACGTTAAATAATAGAAAACGTTGGTCGCACGCACGGCTTCTGGACCTGCGAGGGCAGAATATTCGAAATGTTACCCCAAGATTTTAACGCGTTGCTTTTTGTTGCGATTTTATGATTCATTTCTTTGTCACATCGCGCGACATGATGCATTCCTCAAGAGCGGTTCTGAGAGAGTCTCCCGGCGATTGCTTGTGGCCGGTATTTCCGGTTGACTCTACTTTCGTGCTGCTACCGGCTGTTCGCGTAAACGTGTTGCATATTATGGGTGGGACGCATTGTCGCGCTCGGCACACGTGCCTAATTGGTCGGGACAGGGCTCGAGAGAGAGGAAGCTAACTAAAAACTAATTCCTTCCATACGCGCCCAATGCCAGCTTCCCTCGTTCCCGCACCCTCCCGATGCTGGGACAGCATCTTCGGAGAAGCGCCGGATATAGAGGCGCCATCCGCAATTACCATCGGTGGAAATTTAATTTGACTCGACTGCCTCTGTCTCAACACCCAAGGCGCAATCCTAGGGTATTCGTGAACGGCGCCTTCCATTGTGCGAATGCCATTGATTCAATTCATGGGTTATTATCCGAACTTGATGTCAAAAACAATTTCGCGATCGGGATAAATATATCTCAATAAAATTCTATCATTTTATATAAAACGATAGAAATGTTCTTTGTTTCGGTATTCGACGTACCATGAATTTATCTATACTTATAGAAGAAACTCTTGTTATTTTTAATAAGTATAAAAAAATTAATAAATTATCACACATATTATCAATTTTAAAATTAATCTTACCTTTCTGCTTGTAACCAAATATCAGGTCGATCCATTGATGTAATTGACAAGATACAAATTCGGATTCGAGTGCCTGAAGAAAATGCAATTTAATGAGATGTATCGTAAAGAAAAATATATACATATATATTTAAATATTATTTTTTAACTCAATTTGTAATATACTACATTAATTTAATCTTAACATAAATTCTAAGAAATAATTCCATACCATTCGATTTATACGTATAAATTCTTCAGGAGACGAAGCCCAAGGCGGTAATTCAACATCGCCAACCGAACTACCGTCCTCTTGTCTACCCAAACGATAGCGATTGCTATTCACGAGCATTTCCGGTAGAAAGAAGAATTCCGGAATTAATTCCTGTTAATGAAAAGACGAACTTAGTTTCGTCTATAAATCTTCATATATCTCAAGTATCAGCAATGCGTACGATCGAAAATTTATGCAATAAGGATAACAATGGAGATGCGACTAAGTGCACCGAGGCGTGGTTAAAATGTAAATTCTACGAGTATCTTAATTAAATGCAACGAACCTTGACGTCGGATGTATCACGCTGGCAGTTTTTCCACGAGAGCGCGATAGACGAAAAAAGTCTGTTAGGGTGATCGAATTTGCCGCCTTGTAACGCCAAGAACATAGTTGTCATCGGTTCCTGCGAAAGTATAATTTATTTATAAACCAGATAAGAGAAAATATTTTAGACTAAATCGAGCCTCTTGCAATGTATCAAGCATATAAATTCCGCAGAACGTCAATAACGATAAACGTAGAAGCATAAAGTGTGATACAGGCGTAGAAAAGGCGGTTCTAAAACACCACTTAGGGACACTTTGTAGACCTTTTGTGTTGCACAGGCTTTTGCGGAGCCCTTCTCATTCCCGGTCAGTCATCCGTTGACAAGATGAAAACATTCAGAGACCGCACACACATAATGTACTTTCATGTTATGCTCCGAATATATAAAACCGAATTTCGAAATTTAATGGGAGTGATTCGCGTACGAGCTTAAAACTATTTCTTTATGGGAGACCTAAGATATTGCTATAACAAGGTCGTTAACGTATCTACCGGTATACAAATGGCGAAATCATAAGCACAGGAATTATAGATAAATAAATTATTTACGATGTAATATTTTAATCATTACTTATTGCACATATTTAAATGCAATTTAGATATATAATATACCTAATAAATTCCATTTAAATATGTGCAATAAGTAGAAACATGTTTAAACGTTTATTTATACACATAAAGCCAATTAAATATAAATCCAATAGCGGCATGATCATACAAACTATTGATAATGATTGATAAATTGATGATATATGAAACCATAATTGATAAATGAAAATGACAATTGATAATTTTATAAAGCGAAATAACATTATTACACAAACATATACTATGTTAGAAAGAACAAAGGAAGATGAAGACATTTTCCAGTTATGTCTTCAACTTAAAGTGAACGAGGAAATGCAGCAGAAAACAAATGTATATATTTAACGAGAAGGCGGGCGTCGTTGGCACGAGGGCGTTTCGACGACCCCAAATTAGTGTGCACGCAGTACTAAAAGTGTCGCTTAAATTTATGGTGCAGACTGGACACGCTTCGTAAATGGAAAGACCAAAAATCAGCGATTGAATGTTAATTATACACCCATTACATAAATAAAAAAAGATCCGGTTTCATATCGTTAAATTAAACTTTTTTATTTTTGTAAAAAAACTGATGTAAAAGTATCAATTAAAGAGTACTTTCATTTAACAATTATTATTTTAGCAAATGTAGTAAATTTATTCTATCAATTAAATATTTAAATGATTATTAAAAATATGCTATCTATTTTTCATAGATATAAGTGGGCGAAACAAAATTAAGCAATGTGTGTATGTCTTGAACCGTATATAATTTTCATAAAATACTTACGACACGTATCATCCAATTTAAAACAAAGGCCGCTGTAGAATAATGCGTGCCATAGTGGAAAGGTGGTATAGTGTCGTGTTCCCAGCCTTGAAAGCGTTCCTCAAAATAAGCTCTTCTGTTTGGATTCAATGCGCCAATCGGCTATAAAAAAACATAGACATTCTTTTATAAAATTTTACAATATGTTAGGCATCGATAATATTTTGCGTCCGGCATTCGTGAGAAAAAAAATAAAATCTATAAAATATCTTTCTCATTATCATATGAAATATACATATGTAAATTTGCCAAGAGCTATACCTTTGACAAATCTCGATAATTGCTCGGTAAGCTGAGATCAAGTTCCTTCGTTTCATAGTTCGTCAACACCCAAGGAAATACAGGATACTGATTCAAGTCATTGTAAGTGCGGCCTGAAAAGAGACAAGTATATTTCCTTCAAAATTCAAAATTCAAGATCAAAATATTTGGTCAATTTGTTTCGCATTGTCGTCAAATATTGGAGAATATTGCAGAAAGATGCAAAATTCATTCGAGACTTCAACGAAGCTAAGATTACATATGTGTTTTCCTCCTGACACGATCTAAATCATCGCTCAGCATCCCGGGCAAGAGAAAAAACCGAAAGAAAGTCACAAGACGGGTAGTAAAAGTGCTTAAATTAAATTCCTCATACGTATTGCCAAGAATAGACGAGAAGATTGCGCATTCGGCTTTTAATGCGGATAATCGCCGGCCTACTTTTTTCTTCGACTTGACCCTGCGTCTCAACCACGGTCACTCTTCATCCCGCGCCACCACCGCCATTAACTAAGGAGCGATGAAAGCGGCCACGAGATCGTAATTCTATTTTTAAGAAAAACGCGCCGTGCGGGGCTCAATGGGGCGCGGCGCGCCGTTTAGTAAGCGCATAACTCAGAGCGTGACGGCTAATCGCTCCTGAAATTGTCACTCCCAGAGGTTTCACTCGTGCTCGTTTCCCTGCCGAGCTCCACGGAATCCCATCCCGAGGTGCATTAGTGACGGCAACGCCGGTCCCAAGGCTGAGTTCTAATCTCTTTCCCTGTCGCTAATTAAAGCACGTCAGCGAGTTTGTCACTCGGCGCCCTCGTGACGGATACACGTGTGTTACTATCCTCCCTCGCTCAGTTACTTCGTTTTCTTTCGTGAAAAAAAATGATCCTATTCGGCGAAACGTTCTATTCGCGATAATCGCGCGAGAGAGAAGTGATTAGGTAATGAAACGAGCCGGAAAAATTGACTCTCTACATGCAATACATTGTTTAATAATGGAAAATAGAGATACGATATGTATAGGAAATTCAAGGCACCATCGTGCAATTTTTTATTTTATTTTTTATGGAAAAAAGCTGCTCAAAATATTTTTTAATTAAAATCGTCCGTCTTTTTTAGTAGAGCGTATCCGAGATATTGACATATTTTGCGTAGATATTTGTCACCGAGCTACGACATCGCGAGAACGACTGACGAGAACTGTAGGTTGAACTGTAAGAATGAATTCGTCGGATACTTAATTCTTGAGACAAAAAAAAGAGATGATACAACGACAAAGTCGTACCGCCGGCCGCTGCATAAGTCCCGCCGTCTCTACAATACGCCTGTAAATCGTGGGGGTCGCGCGGCGGTAAATAATAGCGAGGCCGCGTTATGCATCAAAGTGATTATTAATGGTAGCGTCGGCATGAGTGAACGCTCGAGGAACGCGCCTCGACAGCGGAATGTTCGCGACACATACACATCCCCCTGGCCGCTCGCTCCTCTCGTTCGAAGAGATTCGGATCTTACTCTCACTTTCTCCTCTGCGACTTCGATTCGAAAGAAATATGAATAATTTGAGAAGATTATAAAATAACTTAATGTCGCTAGTCAAATAATCCAAGGATCGTTGAAAAATAATTTGAGAAGATTCTTTTACCAAACAAAATAATCTAACTCGCGTATGACATAATTTTTATTATCAACAAGCGAAATAATTTTTAATTTCTTCGAATTTATTAATTTTTAATTTCTTTTTTTATTATGGTAAAATCTAATGAGTAATTTAACGAGAATAGTCGCGAAAAAATTGTAAAATTAGGTTCCAATCGAGTTTACTTCGATTGGAGTAAACTGCTTTTGTGTATCGTAATTAAAGACATGTGTACTAATGGTTTGGTAGGTCGTTTTATCGCGCTGTCACTGTATCCTTGGCAATAATTCACTGCAAACCAGAACCAGCCTAGATACGATCGAAAACGAAGGCGACGACCTGTTGGCATCTACCTGGGACAAAGAGATCCCTGATTCGGCATATATAAAAAGAGTCACGTTTCGGAAAATAAATGCGGCAGTTATATACAAAAGTACTAGTATGCGTCAATATATTTATTATACAAATTGTATCGTTGCAATATCAATTAATTAATATCCCGGATTATATCTACACTTTTTATTTATCTATTTAACAATTATTTGAAAAGAAACATAAATAGATTTAAAAATGAATATAAAGAAATTAATTAAAAATACCTTTGCATCCGCAAAATGCACCTGAAGAAGCTGAATATATCGAAAAGAATTAAACTTGAAATGTATATATATTGATATAACAATACTCGTACCATTTTAAATATTCTCCAAGCATTAATATTCTCGAGCACCTTATCTCTCCGAACAATTAAAACTGGAATATATGTCGAGATATTTTTAATGCAAAAACCATTTGTCATTCTATCTCCGATAGCATATCTCGTTCGAGTTTCAAGCAACGCTCTCCCTTACAGAGAAATATATCGATCGCCGCCGTCTTCGACGATCGCTCTTCGCGGTCCACTCTGCGCTACACGTGCGGGCTATCGTATTTACATCGGATTCACTGTCATTAATTTTTAATAAACCGATGCGCGGGCGCGAGCAAATAAACCTCGCGATCGGGATGCGGCGCGGCGCGTCCGACCGGTTCGTTTTCGCATTCGATTCCCTTACCTCCTCCGCCGATCGGCGGCAGATCGACCGTTCTCGACGTTGCGGGCAGCAATGCTACCCACGGCTATTTATTCAAGCAATTAATATATAACCGTCGTAAATACCCGGCGCGGCCACCCCCGCGGGCATCTCGGCGCGCTGCGCCGAAATGCGAATAATTATGCATCCGTGTTCATCGCCGCCATTAAGCACCGGGTGCGTGCGTGGGCGCGCATAAATCCCACGCGGGCGGTACAACTTATAAAGGGCGAGAGTGGCCTAAAACCTCCGGACTTTTGTTTACAAAAATTGCGGCCGGTTAATATCCCTGCGATCAGCGACGATCGACGTGCCGCCCGGATCGCACTATCGCGCCGACGATTATTATCGAAGAAACGTTGCCCGGGGAGAGAAGGGCAGTGAGAGATCGATCATTCCTGGGAGTCGATGAACCTTGCGGCACGTGGAGAGAATCGTTTGATGATACGTTTGTTTCTCCCAAGTTTGCCGCGTGTAATATAAAAGACAAATGATGCGCGCGTTGAATCTTCTCTTCCGTGAAAGTAAAGATAAATTATCCCATCATACACAAATACGAGATAATAAAAGCACTACGCGAGTAAATTTATATTGCGCGTAAATATCATTAAATATTCGATAAGTGTTGCGTTCGAGAAAAAGAGCACGCTTCGATGGAAAAAAGAAATGCCAGCAAGGTGATTGGAATGGCGATGCGCTTGGCTGAGTCCCGTCGTGATCTGTGAAGGGGCGTCCAAGTTGTCCCATTAAAAAGTGCACGAGACGACGGCGGCATCTCGAATTTCGTGATTTGGTTCGATGAACGCGCGAGGGAGCGGATATTAAACCGAAGAGAAACAAAGACGCGCCCTCAGCAAAGCAGGGCAGGAAGGGCGGTGGTGGGTCCCTTGGGAGAGGATTACCGAGGCTTGGGAGGTTGGGATTACTCGCATGGGGTAGCTAACGGAACACAGGGCTGATTGAGAACATCCCTAATGCGGCGCGACAGTCTCCATCCGCCCGTGTGCAACCATAAAAAACCCGACATCTTCGCTACTCTCGCTCGAAATTTCTCTATCGAACAGAAATCAGTCGACTATTTCACTCAATCGAGATTTATATTTATGTAAATTATTCATGTACTTACCGGCAATTGTATTCAGGAACATTAGATATTCAAAGTTTGATATTTCTCGACGCTGCCACTTTTGAGTCATATTGGAGCTTCTCATCAATTGTCGCGGTGACATCAACGATGCTCGTCTATAAAATAAATTAAAATTTACAAATTATAAATACCCATGTAATATATTCAAATCTAAAATATTAATCTAAAATATTAATTGATATGTCTAAAATATTAATATATAATTAATGCATAAAGTAAGTATATAAGTATAATAATTTTTCAATTGCTTAGTTAATATTCAATTCTAATAGAAGTAATAAGCAAGTAGGCACATTTGCTCCATCATTTGTTATCATGATAATGATAACAATGTCTTTCATCGTTAATGTCATTTAAAAAGTTTTATAATTCATATTTTTATAATTAATATAAAATTTATCTTTTTATCTCAACCTACTTTTATCATTGTATCTGAAATGTCCGCTCATTAAAGCATAAAAGATTACGTAGACGCATGAAAATAAGAGCATCCATATGCATGTAATTAAATGCACCGATGCTACACTAACAATGAAGCATATGTTCATAATCGAAACGACTTATAATTTAACGCGAAACTGGCATAATTATGCTAAATTGCAAGCCACAGTGCGAGACCACAGTGTCGCTGCTCGGCGTCTCGCCGTTTTAATTGCCGAATCAAACGAGCAGTGCATCGTCTTTGATACGCAATTAAGACCAGTCGGTCTCAATTCGTAAGAGCAATTACGTTAGAACGCGCTCGCCGCACTTTGCGTTCGCGCCATAAAGCTCGTTGTGCGACTTTATGAATGCGAAGATCGTTGATTTAGGATTTATACGGAGACTTTAACGGGCGTCCATCCTTGGGACGCGTTAAAAGAGCACGTATGATGACGACCGGACACATAAATTCAATTCCTGAGACGCATCTCGCGTAAATTTCATGCAAGCGTGAAAACTTCCATTGCGATCGGTGAAACACCGATTGCAATTCTCGAAGCATAATTGTCGAGATGTAATCTCTCTTTCTCTCTCTTGTGAAAAGATATCAAGTATATTTTTTTATTAGATTTTTCCATAAAATAAACGAACGTAATTGGAATAAATGTATATGAAGTATGTATATAAATCTACAACGAGTTGTCGCGCCTGGATGAGGCTCGATTATAAGATTCTACATCCTTCGCACTACCTGTGGAGTAGATTAATGTTCACAGCAAGGCCAGTAAATGTAAATTAACGTGTAACTGATATGCTAAAGGAAATGCCTAATTACTATCGATTTATTACGATGTTAATAAATAAAGATATAAACGCCAATGCTTTATACCGAAGTTATATCCTTGATATTTTTTCCGTTGCGTAAAAATTTCGATCCCTTTATAAATAATAATCGTAGTAGAATCTTTTACCAATTAAGACTGTATACTAATTCATGACTTCAGGGCACAGTAGCTTAATTAAATATAACTCTTTACAGTTGCATGTCAGCAACCACACTTTTCAACATGACGTTCCATAATTCTCCCGAAGTCATTACATGAATTAATTTATATCGTATTTATCATTATGTATATAGTAATGAATAATTCTTATCGACATGCTCTGATATATAAAATTGGAAAGCTGTTATTCTTATGCCAAGCATGTTATATGCTCCTCTCATTAAATTTTAATAAAAATCTTTTTTTTATGACTTGATGATTTAATTTGCAACATTTGCATGAGATTTCAATTATTAATATTAAGAACATACATTAATAATTAGGATTACATTTACATTAATAATTGTGATAAAATTTTACTTAAAGCTTCTATTAAATTGCAATTTTTAAATTAATTGAACAATAAAAGTGTAATATTTCTTCAAAATAATGTCAAATAATGCGATGCGTTAATTGAACATTAATTAAAAATTTTCTTATCTATGAATTTATTTTGCAACGCAATTTTTGCTGCATTACAACGCGTGGATTTTATATATCGACAGAAAGAAAGAGAGATTATTTTTTTCTTAACCAGGAATCCTTTTCTCAAGATCAGAAACGTCGGAGTTCGCCGTCGTATATTTATGGCCGATGTATCCTTCTCGCCGACTATCTCGTATATAGAAGAGCTCTAATGGATGAGTCGAAACAAGGATACGCGAACCTCTGTTGTCGCCGCCAACTTTTGCCGACTTGAAGGCTTGGTATCCTGCGAGGATCTTTCTCTCTCTTCTCAATATAAGAACAATGTTTTGCAGGGACGAATTTTGCACTTTTGATTTTTATTCATTATACTCGCTTATATGTTATCATATTTTCGTTCTTTCAAATTCAAAAAATTATTTTGTTGACGTAGAATTCTAAGTGTCATAACAAAAATTTATTACTATTTTTTATATTTGTTAAAATATTGTGTGTAATATGTAGAATTTATAGCCATAAATTCTAATAATATCTTCTAGCAAATTTAAGTCCCATTGCCAAATATCATTGTATTAATTAAATATTAATTTCCATACCGTACTTCGAGCAAGTTTTGTGAGAAACAATTTTTCTATGTACCACAATTAAATTTTAAAATAAATGATCAGCTTTAACATGAATAGGCATCACAGAAAGGCTTTCTTTCTAAATTTTTATGAACAGTTCAGATATAAATTCTATCTCTGTCATTTAGAATGATTAAGTGCAAAGTATATGCGATATTTGCTAATTAGTTATCTACCTCAGTTAATTTTTCGCACCTACAAAATTGTTGTCATAGTTGCAATTGCATTTTTCTAAATGTATAGTAAGTATTATGAGAAAATACAAATAAGTATAAGATATAAAATTAAGATATAAAATAACTATGAAAATATATAATATATAAATTTGCGACACAGCTATAAATTTCGCTGTTGCTGCATATAAATAGCTTGATTTCTTGATATATATTTATAAAGCGATACGTCTCTATATTTAACAACGCTTAGCAAAGTAGAGATAATATATGTGCTAATAAATAATACATTATTTGACGAGTAGAAAAATACTTGCTAAAACGAAAAATATCTCCATAAGAATATAGTAGAAATATATAAACATACAAATCTATATGCAGCATCTGTAATTAGAATATCGTAAAAAAATATCGTAAAAAAATATCATAAAAAAAATATCGTAAAAAATATTTTTATACATAAAATGTAGTTATCATTTATTTTAGTGACATATAACCGATGTTTATTGCCATTTTTTTAAAGTAGCCGAGAGAGAAAGAGTGAAGCACTATGTAATATTCTATATTCAAACTGTTTTTTCACTCGATTTATTGATTGAAACTAATTTATCCTCACATTCGTATTTACATTTATATGCTACTGTAGATTTCGGAAATGATAAATATTTGTAGAAAGAAGCACTTCTCAAGAGAATCCGTCCCTGAGCAGAGTCGTTTTACCGAAAAGGACAAAGAAAAGAGGGATGTGACGAACATATTTGGGAGCAAACTCCGAGATCACCATGGAATGACAGAAACGCTTCCTTCCTCTCGTTTCTAAGCAGTTATCGCTTACCTAGTCTGGGGTATTCCGTATTTGATGCCAACGCCGACTCGCGGTAGTGCCTTGATCATCTTTTTCACCGTCGCCTGGTCCGAGAACGCAAACAGGATCGAGGCTGTGGACAAAAAGGCGTTAAACGGCGAATTATAGGGGAGTCTGACTTCTAGCTATGTCAATCATTTAAAGAATGAATGACAGAGTTCTTGTTATTATAATCTATTTTTTCAATTTCTTAGTGTGTGACATATATTTATGAGAGAGAGAATATATGATAAAATCTCATTTAAATTATAATTTAATAAAGCTGACAAAAATATAAAGTGATTATTAGTCTTTTAAATGCTGCCAGATTATCATTATTTAATCATATATATAATTATGATATTAATATTAAAATATCATGCTGCAATAATAAATTAATAAATTAATAAATATAATATTGTGTAATTTATTGTATAATAACTACGCTTACAATAAATTAATTTGTATCTTCCAAATAATATTAAAAAAACGAGAAAAGGATTCTTTTTAAAATGTGTTTTGCGATATTTCCGAGAGTTCGAAGAGTAATGTCCGAGAAGATAGATATATAAATACTTTCTATAAATACTTTCTATAAATACTTTCTTGTAATTTATCGAATTATTTGTATAAAAGTAATATATATGATTTAATTTTAATTAAAAATGAAGGAAATTTAATCGTTCAACTCTTATATGTATGCAATATATGTATATCGTAAATGAAACATAATCAAATGTTCTTATTTTACATAAAGCCAATATTCTTCTTTCTTTTAACAAGTAGAAAATGTTAGCCTATACTTGATTTTAATAAATATCGCATAAATATTTTCGAGTAATCTAAATCGATTAATTTAATCGATCTTTTCAGTATTTCCGTAGATATTAAGTTTTTATTATTTCTTATCCACGCACGCGCGCTTGTTTATAAAATATTCCATGTATATTGCGCTTCTCCAGCTGTTCTTCTTTAAATTCATACTGGTATTGCCAATATGCGCAGATGCTCCAGCATTGAATACAATCATACATTTTATCTTAGAAACTCCTTATTTATGACATCCCGAACGTTCGATAACGTAAGATATGTGAGTGGATAGTATAGCATATCAAACAGCAAGAATCGTAAGAAATGTTTCACTAGATCAACAAATTTTACTATGTTTACAAGAAAATTTTTTCATACATAATTGATAATTTTGGGCAATGTGATCCAGCGATGAAAAGTTACATCACGACCGCGTTATAAAGTAATCCCTTCTCTATTTTATTGTTTGACGATTTATCGAGAAGAAACGCGATCCAACATCGGGCTAATGAACGCGCATTTCAACTGATTTTTTAATGAACGACGAAGACTCCTCGCAGGGATGACATTCCACCGCTAACGTTTCCGCGCGACGCATCGAAAGTCGAGATCAGATTAGAATCGGGGAACGCCTGGGAATTTATCTGCGCCCCGGAGAAATAATCAGCGGGATAGTGGAGTCCTCGAAAGGCAGGTATAAATAATTATCTCGCGTATAGTTGATGTGTTATAGGATACGGTGATCTGCCTCGGGAACAAAGACTCGTTAACGAAAATGTCATTGTCGATAATTAATACGTGAATACGAATTCAATGACTTTGTTAGCACGCGAAATTTTATCATCTTAATATTTATCATTAAATTAGTATTATATATATATAAATTTAACGCGGTATATTATATTAATTAAAGATGGTATTTGCTAAAGTTTAGAGCCATCCCAAATTTGTTTATATATTAAACTGCACTTACGATGTAACGCTGCGCAATGATAGCAGATGCGCTTATGGGAGCGAATAATGAACCGATCTTAGAAAAAAGCATATCGTAATGCGGGCGAGATATTTATTATGTAAAAAGTAATGCGCGGGCGCACACCTTGCGACGAGCTCGGGATTCCATTGCCATTCGCCAGATTAAACCGTGTCGTTGTCGCGCGAAATAACGCAGAAGGGCTCGGAGTTCGAACAAGAAACGGAATGCGCTCTCAAAAGCGACGCGCTGATTGAGGACGAGCGAAACGAGAGGAATTACTTACTTCTGCTGGCGAGAAAGATTTCGATGGCCACATTTTGCAGCAGGTAACGTCGCGAGAAGATTGCGCGTACTTCGGAAAAGTACCATTTTCCGTGCAAATGGTCGCAATACTTCAGCACCTGTAACAGAAATAAAAACGCGCTTTCTTTATCAATTCTTTCAAATCAAACTTTGAAAAGACAATTAATTATATCTCTTTCTATTTATCTATCTAATATTACGACTGTGTTACACAAAATTTCATTTATAATATTAAATTCATTTTGCAGATGTAGCAATAATAACTTGCATATTTTACAAAGATGATTTTTGAGATCTTGTCAAATTATTTATTATTTCTATAAAATGCTAAATTAAAAAATATTTATATGACTTAGAAATTAATTATTTTTTGCAATAATACCTTTTTTAATTAAACGATCATTTTCCGACAAAGATATGATAATGCGCATGGACATTACTACAGAAATGCCGATTGAGGACCAAAACAGGATGGTCCGAGGATACGAGCGCATGGTTGGATATAAGTATGCAACTTCGATGCAGTGAAGTGTGATGTGATATAGTGAGACTTGCTGGTTGCAAGATGGCCGTCATGGTAGGAGGAGCCTCCCCTGCTGAGCCGAGAATCGATCCCAGGACCTCATGGACTTGCGCTCTCGAACGAGTCGTGAACATCTCGTTGGCAAAAGAGGGAGAGATGGAGAACAAAAAGAACAAGATTCGGCGAGAGAACGAACAGGATGGTAGGAAAAAGATCGGCGAACACGGTAAAAGAGAGAAAGGGAGAAGAAGAGGGACAAAATAAAGGATCCCGATTTACTACCCCTAACAAGGCCTTCAATTTTTGCCTCTTAATGAGGACGTACCATGCCGCCGCGATGTCCTTACGCGCGGCGAATGAAATTATCCTCGAAATAATCCGCCAAAATGAACCATTCAGTTGATTATGAAAAGTCTGTGATCAAAAAATGTCAATAAGATCTTGTTTACAATCTTGTAAAAGCTGTCCTTTGCGATAAAAACATGACTATTATAAATATAAACGTAATCACAGAAATATTGTTGTTGGATTTAATCGTTGGATCAATGTCGGCATCGACACTCGAAAACATCTTAATATTTATTTTTGTCAACTACGCTTTGATAAAAAAGGAAGAAAAATAGTAATAGCGTACTAAGTCGAATATATCTCAATATCGATTTAAATAAATGATAAATAATCGTAATAAATAATGAAATAATCATAAATATTGTCGAAATACAATTAAACGTAGAATGCCGTTTGAGGGGAATTATTCTTGTCTAATTTTTTAATAGATATAAAATCACTAGATAATTATACTTTTGCTGTTCAAGTTAATCCGTTTGCGGAAATGATAATTACGGAATTAATTTTAATATCATAATAATCTTAAAAATATACCTTTATGTATTAAAATTCTTTGATATTGAAAAGTTATTAAATAATAATATTTATATATGATTATTTTATTATTCTTTAATTTGATAGTCACCCTTATAGTTATCCTTAATTAAATATATGTTTTACGAATATCTTGATCAATTTTATAGCAATGGAACATAGATTTCAATTAAAGGCGCATGCATCACACATAATTGTATATATTATATAAAAATTACACAAAGAAGAATTTTATAAAGTAAATGTTAAAATTTTTAATAGATATATAGTCATGAGCTTAATAAAGTGATAAGTGTATAGATATAGATACATTGTATTCAATTTTGATAAGCAGTTTTATAATTCTAATAAATATAACTTCAGTAAATAGATAAACCATCACAATAAAGAACGATATTATTAATAAAATGCAATATTTCATATAACTCTGGAAAACTCTCGAATTTAATATATACATTCTCATGCTTTATATTAATTTATTTTTTAACAAATTCAGAATAATAAAAATAGATCAATACGAGCAGAAAAAGTGACAATAAATGTTGACAAATAAATACATTGTTATATAACAATATATTTATTTATCAACTATCTTTTTCCTGCTTATATAGCACCTATTTTTATTGCTCTAAACTTTTTAATAATAACGAGTTTCTCTATTTAAATGTACCATTTTATGTATTTTTATGTATTATATATTTTATGTATTATTACATGTATTATTTTATATTTTCACACAAAAATATCGTCGCTAAGTCATCAAAGTAAACTGCATGATGATATTGAATGAGTTTGAAAAGTAACTTGACATCGTTAACAAAGAAAAAGAGAAATACATCAAAATATTCTAAATCAGCAGCTGCATATTAAACGCTAACGATGGTTTGCCACACGCACGTCAAAATTATAATCTGTAGGCTTTGTAAGCAGCTTATGTGTGGACTCTCATCTCTCTCGGGATTACAAGTGTCATGATTGATTTGTAATAAAGTATCGAGTGTCGGCGAGAATTGGGGGTGCAATACGGATGTAACGCTTTCTGCAATTATTATTAAAGGTAAGGAGAATGCAATTATTGTAAAAGGTATGGAACATATTTATCTAAAGGTATAAAACATTTTTGTTCTTGTTTTTCGCGATTTTTAGAGTCATGCGATCTTACTCGAAGCATCGTGCGCGATGAACACAACGCGCAAGGTCGGAGACCAGTCGGGGGAGCGAACGCACAAAGCCAACCCCTAGGGCGATCTGCGCAAGCTCTCCGCAAACACTGTTCAAGATTGATAACGGCCGTGTCGCGGCTCAGAATCCATTATTTGGATACCTGCTGCCACAGTTACAGATATATCACGTACTCTGCATTAAATCTTGTCACGGATTAGATAGGATCATTCGTCGTTTAACCCCCGTGCACGCAAGATACAACGTATTGTTCCGCCTTCTTGCGATCGCATTAATCAACGAAACATCTAATAATTCTTTAACGAAACTTTTCTTATAACATTCATGTGCGTTTAGTCATCAGAATTATTAAATAGCTTTTAACAAAACATATTTTTTATAATATTTTATGAAATATATAACTGTGAATTATTTTTAATATAACATGAAATATAAAAATATGAAAAAAAAACTAATAAATGATAATTATGCGCACATATGTAGAAATATAAACATTTCCGTTTCTTTATATGTAAAATAAAAACATTTATGAAATATTATGTATTTGCACGATTTTACGGAAAAAATGAGATATTCGCGCACATCCGCATATGTATGTGCATACATACGTAGCATATTCGTTTTCCAGCATTCTACATACTTGTCGCACCTAAAAAAAGGAGCATCTTATGCGATGGAACGTAAAATAATACGTTTCCACGTCGCAAAACGTGGCACCAGCGACCGAGTGGCAAAGACCACACGCGGTTAAAGAGAGGTCCTGGCCATGGAGTGTCAAGTGATACGCGATTAGAGCTCCCCATGTCCCCGTGCTCATCTCTCACCAACCGAAACCGTCCCGAACGCAGCGGAGCGCCGGGGTTGCATCGCGACGACAATGGGCGACGTGATGTAACAACATGTGTCGCGTTCGCAAGGGAGCCTCTCGCCGCTCCTACGTACACCGTAGGGGTGCACTATAGAATGGGATACCATTTAGCAGCCCGCCGGCGGTATACAACAAACAGATTAAGCGCCGGACAATAATGGACCCGCCGCGCTCCACTCGTCGGACTCACTTGGACGCCTACGAGAACCCTCCCCACTTCGAGTGCCACTTCTCTTAAAATCATGATGCAAACGGCAAAAGTGCAACGCATGAATGATTGATGAAGGAGAATGTTACGTTTGTATACTTCTCAGTCGTTTACTAATTTTTCGTAAAGCTTTTGTCTTGTCACCCGCTTTTTTAATAAATTAGGTTGATAATTTGTATAAAAGAAAGTATAATAATTATTGGTAGCTTAAAAAATATTTTGAATAAAGTATGAAATAATCTGTAAATCGTATCTTTGCTTTGTAATACACACACATTAATAGTGAGTATTGAATTAATTTTTCCTTGTTTTCATTCAGATTTTTCGTAATTTTTTTTTAAAGATGCGAAATATGAATTTGTATAGGTATGCAAATTCAATGTTGTAAGTAAACCGCAGTGGAAATGAACATCGAATTTCACAAAATCATACTCGTCGAGATCGTATTGACGGAAATAGACAGCATCTGTTTCCGTGGATGCGGCGACTAATGCTCGAGACATTCGGCGATCCCAAGCGACGATGAGTTATGCGTGACACGTGCGCGTTCTCATACCTTTATTACCGCAGCATCGCTGGGAGATAATGCACCGCGGCATGTAACGTACAAAGAACCACCGGCGTGACTCGTCCCGCGTTCCATTAAATTTGCCGCAGCGAGAACAAAAAAAGATAAATAAAAAAGCACAACGCACGCATATATATTTCACGTGTGTAACGAGGAAATCGCCGAAGAGCACGAACGGAACGCGGTGGCAATGAGCCGATAAAGCCTAATGACGTCCAGTATACAGCGGAGAACCGATGTGTTTTTCCCATTTAATTAACCCGTACCCGCGAGGTTTTCCCAGGTATCATAAAACAGATAATACGACTTACTTCCGGTAAAACAGATGCGAACGAGCAAGCCGGCTGTCGCGTCAAACGGCTCGCCTAAACTACTAGTCCGTGCTAAGGAGATTACAGCCGGCGTCTCTGCTATCGATAATTGCATGGTAAACGATCGATGTTTAAACGCAGGTTTCAACTACTTAAAATTCATGATAACTCTATCGCAACTAATGTGACCGGATGTAATCGTTTTTCGTTTGATAAAAAATATGTGTTATATTCTATAAACGAATTCTATGTTATTCGATCATATGATTTGCGGGTAGTTTCTCTCAGTGATGGATTTACGCAATGATTGGGGTGAGTTTTTCGAGATGAAATCTCGACATTTGGAACGATCTTTTTTCCGTGCCATTTAACAAAGAAACCGTGAAATACGTACTCCAAGGTATCCATCGTTTTTCTACCGGCTGCCGAAGCTCAACGAGCGAGTCCCGGATTACTCGGGATTACGCGGGGATGTTCATTCGAGCTGATTTACAAGGTCGACTCGGCGTGCCGTCTGCATAGATCAGAGCGACCGTCAGATACGTCACGATCCCCGATAGAAATATTGTACAATGGAAACACGAGAGTCTACGCAATGGAAACCAAAAGTGCTCTTACGTACACAATACCGAGCGAAATATTTTGGTGTGCATCGATTGCCCGAACTTGCTCTTTTATGCACATTCGAGTGATTCCGAATCATCGCCGAATGCAAACTGATGAAATCTGATTTTTTTTATAAGGAAAAAAATTAACACTATTTTTATATTAGCAAATTTATATTCGAGTTATGTAAATTTTGCACCTTTCCAAGATATCCAATGGATTCCGATCGAAATTAATTTCGCAGAGCGTCATCTCTCAACAAGGCCGCGAGAACATCGGTATACAAATAATTCAGATGATAAACGAATTAAGTCGAAATGGGATGATGAAAGGCACATTTAGGGCGGAAGGAGCCCGGGTTCTGCCTTAATGCGAGGGCTGATGTAGCAGAACGTTTGACCCCTCGACTCACCGACGCAAGATGGGAGAGCGAAACACGGAGAGCGAGACAGAGAGCGCGAGTACGACACACGTGCTCGACTCATGAATCAAGTCGTATTAGCGAAAGCGAAGTAGGGACCACCGGGTACCAATCTACCACTTCAACTTGGAGTAGATTGGATTCCCGAGCTTTATTCGATTATCCACGAACGAGGAGCACGAATTGAACGTGGCGCGACTCTCTGGCATAACTCGCCGTTTCGCTTCGCAGCTTTAGCAATCGGAGCGTAAACAACGGACAATGATGAATGACGTAATAGGGTAAATCAAATGCAATAAAAATACCGCTATTTTCCTAGTATTTAATAGAATTTGAGATTGTACTTTTGATAACTAAGCACAAAATGAAAAAAGGAGTTAACAAATAATGAAGAATGTTAGATGGCTTATTTTTCACGTTAACGGATAGAAAAATATCTCTGCGTACACATGTTGACAACAACGATTGCTTTCTGTCCTAAAGGATTGAAAAGAGCGAGAGCGGGTCGGGAAACGATGTTTGCCGAAGATATGGAGGTTCTAATCGGCGAAATCTTGCGCCTTGAATATCTGATGTATCCGACTGGTCGATCGGTATTCTTCGGTGATAGTTGTATGGCATGAGTTTTTATGATCGTAATATAAAAGGGAGGTTCTTTAGTATCTCGTGTTTGTAAGCTGTTTTTCGTCGTGCACACCTGCCTTTGCGGATATGTGTGTGCATGCATATATGTATATATGCATGCATGTGCATCTCATCAAAATTGAAGCTGCACGTTTATGTTCGCGTGCCGAATGAGAGCAGGAAACATTCGTCGACACTTTCCACACATACATATTTCTCTATAAATACACACATATATACATATATATACATACATATATACATACATACATATACACACATATATATATTAGTATGCATATGCCAATGTTCAATATTCAAATGATCCTTTCAACAGAGCATTATCGTATCTATTCACTTGATCGTATCTGGAATTATCGTAGCATGAAATCGGGGGCTCACCCATTTGCGGAGAATGTCTCAACTACTAATATACATGGCATGTGAAAGTAACACCAACTACTGATTTAAATACAATGAATAACCATTTGACCCAATGAACAAACATTTTGCAAAATATTAATTTATATTGCTGTCTTATATCTTGACTAGTAAAAAAATTTAAATCTAAATAAAAGTTTAAATTGTCTAGTTTAGTTTATAATATTTTTGCTACTTTCACACGTCATCAGCATCATCATCATCATCATCAAGCTTTACACATGATGTTGCGAGGAGTGTGACGTGATGCGTAATTTTTACATTTTACTTTTTCTTAATTCGCAGTTTTGTATGAAAATTAGAACAATTTGATCGAAATATCCTCAAAATCGATATACTAGAAATCGACTTACTAGTGACGGAATATCAGACGGTTCCGCAACTCGCGCTAGCTTAGTTTATCACTGTCTATCGATAGCGACCAGAAGAAGGAACAGTGGAGGAGGAAAGGTACAGGGAGGCGTGGTACCAACGCGCACGCTCCATGTGACCCTGTCTTTCTGGAGGCGGGACTTTAGGAACACAACTACAACAGAAGTGGAACCAGCCGGTGGTCAGCGGCGTTCTCTCTGTCGTCGCGCGCGCCGGATACCTCGAGCCGATACCTCGTTGCACGTACAACACCTGCCGCACGATTAGGCACGCACGATTCGTTTATCCGTAACCCGTTTTGGCGACCTTTTTTAAGACTGCGAGTTTCGCTACGCTCCCCCGAACTACCCCCTGACTCGAAAATTGAGGCGAGATCATCAAAGCGGTAGCTGTCAAAATCATGCACGGAAAAACGATTGACAATAATAACAATCACCCTGACAGTACATTGCTCGGTGAGTGAATATGCATATGAGAGAATGAGGCTCATTCGTCCGAGGCGGAAGAACATCCCCAGGATCGTTGGAAGCAGACAGTTTCGTCATGATGCTGGTTCCACAAGATATCATGGGTGGCCCATCGAAGATGCTGTATCAGATGAACAAGTATTACGTCGAGCGGGTGCAGGCGCGCATGGGCCAGATACAGAAGACTATACGAGAGGTGTGTAAGGTCGTGCAGGATGTGCTGAAGGAAGTCGAAGTGCAAGAACCGCGCTTCATCTCTTCTCTGACCGAGTGCAACGGCCGCTACGAGGGCCTCGAGGTGATCTCGCCGGGCGAATTCGAGGTGGTCCTCTATTTGAATCAGATGGGTGTCTTCAACTTCGTCGACGATGGTACCCTGCCGGGCTGCGCCGTGTTGAAACTCAGCGACGGACGCAAAAGGTCAATGTCCCTCTGGGTGGAGTTCATCACCGCATCCGGTTACCTGTCAGCTAGAAAGATACGCTCGCGATTTCAAACTCTGGTAGCCCAGGCCTGCGACAAGTGCAACTACAGAGACTCGGTAAAGATGATTGCCGACACTACCGAGGTGAAGCTGCGTATACGCGAGCGGTATGTCGTGCAAATTACACCGGCGTTTAAATGTTCCAACGTGTGGCCGCGATCTGCCGCTCACTGGCCGATACCGCACATCCCTTGGCCGCATCCGAATCTAGTGGCAGAGGTCAAAACGGAAGGCTTCGACTTGTTATCGAAGGAGAGCGTCGCGCTTCAAGGCAAGCAATCGGCGATGGAGGGCGACGCCTGGGTATTATCCTTCACAGAAGCGGAAACCAGACTATTACAGGGCGGCTGTCGCCGAAAATGTCTCAGTATACTAAAAACTCTGAGAGACCGACACCTCGATCTGCCCGGAAATCCGGTCACTAGCTATCACATGAAGACACTGCTGTTGCACGAATGCGAGAAGCATCCCCTCGAGACCGAATGGGACGAGGGATGCCTGGCCGATCGCATCAATGGCATTTTCTTGCAGTTGATTTCCTGCCTGCAATGTCGACGATGTCCGCATTACTTCCTGCCGAATCTCGATCTTTTCAAGGGAAAATCGCCTAGCGGTCTAGAGAATGCTGCGAAGCAAGTTTGGAGACTTACGAGAGAGTTGCTCACAAACAGCCGCGCGCTAGAGAAACTTTAGCGTTTTCCATCTCGAGAACATCCGAAAACGCGCGATGAAGAACAAGAAATCACTCGATGACACGTGTAACAGAACGTTGTTTCAACCGTATATTACGTGTTTATTCGATACTATCACGAACAATTAGTTATTAATTAATACACGCTTGTGTCGAGGGCTTAGAAATGGTGCATTGTTACAAATAATTCTTAATTTGTCAGCTTAATATATTAATATTTTTGTTTGCATTTTTTTAGTAACAATCGTGATTCAAATTAATAACAATTTTTAGGTAAATAATCACATATTTAATTTTTTTTAGATTCAGATAGTCTAATGTGACTATTATTATTGATTAAATATTTAGCCCTATTTTTTCATATTAAACTATTATGTTTTGTTTCCTTAAAATTGATTATATTATCTATGTTCAAAAATTTTGCCGATTAAATGTAGAAATGTAGAAATAAAACTAACAATAAGTTTAACTTTAGCAAACTATAGGGAAAAAAACAAAATTTATTTATTTATTATTTAATAGTTTAATTGATTGACGAGAAGAATTACGTATAGGATTAAGTATATATTCATATACATAGATAAATAGATTTGTGCGAATTGTAAATATCCAAAAAGAAAGTTATGATTAATTTAACAATTTGAATATACCGTGAAATATACGTACAGCGCGATTCCGTCTTAGATTTCAGCAAGTTGCGAGAGTTTTCTCAAAAATAATATATATGAATGCTTTACTTCAAACAATTTATTGCTGTAAGATAAGCATCATGATAGTTATCTCGTGCGACTAGTTAAATGTTAAGTACACAGCATATTTAGATAGTTATTATAATACGTCACGTTGCAATACATGCGATTTGTGCAATTAATTTTGTCGAATAGAATATCTCATATAAACATTTAATGTGATAATATTATGTGATTATTTCTTCTCGATTATCAAACAAATCAATCAAATCAATATCAAAATTATAATCGCAATAAAATGAAAAGATAACTTTTTAAGACATACGATGTCTTCAATTTTTAATATTCTTTAATGTTTTATACAATATTTTTTTATATTCTTTAATGTTCTATACAATAAAAAACTCTTTATAAAAACAAATTTCTACACATGGAATATATATTTTCATGAACACATTTTAAGTAACATTTTAGTATTTTAATTTTCTTGCAAAATTATATAAAATAAGTAATTTATTTTAATTAACTATTGTAATTATTATGTTTACCTATATGTAATATATTATATAATTTGTTATTCGCGTGTGATTTAATGTTTATAATCGGTTAACAAAAAGCTTCCGACGGGAATTTGTATATCATTATTATATACATATATGTAGTATAGATACTTTTATATTTTTTAAATAATATTTATTTTTTTATAATTTTGGATCAATTATTTAAAACATGTGAAATGTAAATAATTAATAAATGCATTTATCACTATCAATTAAATAATTATATATCCTTATTTCCCTATTTTTAATTGATATAATTGCAATTAAAATATTTAATATATATTTATCGCATTAATATTAATCACAATAAAGTGTGCCAAATATAATAGAATTTATGATTTTTTAAAATATGTTAATTAATTACATCCGGCATAAATAATTGGTTTACGGTATACTTTTACGGTATATCAAAATTATTTAATGTAATATCATAAAAAGAAACATTTTACTTCTTTTTTATCAAATATTACTTAGTCCGACAAACTTTTTATGAGAAGACGTTAAAATTATTAGTTGTATGATTTGTAAACCATAGTTTGTAATATATGATGAAATATGTGCATATCCCTTCTCTAATTATTTTTCTATGGGGTCGCTCTTCTAATACAGAGATATATTTCTCGTAATAGTATTTATATATCAGATAATAATGAATGTACGATTATTATGCCAACTTGTATTTAGCTTGTGTATAAGAGCCTGAAATAACTCGCTGGCAGCGAGGCGGACAATCATTATACGCCTACATAAAATATCACATCCTTATCTTAATTTTATCCTTAACGTTCCGCGTCTTCCTTTCCTGACGATGACATTCGTTAAGCGGTGCCATTCACTTTCCTTGCTTTACTACACATTCGACCACTTCCAAATGCGTACGATAATTGTTATTGCACTCTAACACGAACAGTAAAGATCTCTATTGACTATGGAATTTTAAATTAATGGATATTCTTCACTGTAAGAAAAACTGTAATATTTTTATCATTATGTATATTAAGATATTAACATTTCTATCTTTTATGAAGTATTCTTCTACAGATATTATCAATAATAATGTTATATTATTTGTTGTAATTATTGCTGCTATGAAAATGATGTGTAATTTTTTAATATTGATATATTTATTACATCAACTGTTTTTCCACCCAGAAATTGTTCTGCGTCTAGGAATATTTAAGATAATTTATACATGTGCAAGGACAATATTTCTCTTGATGATAATTCTAATATCAATCAATTACAATAATGAAGAATAATTATTATTATATATATATAATTTTGCTATCGATTTCTGATGGAAAGAAAATAATACGACAAAATCTTGACGGGATAAAGTTTAAGGTAACTCTATCCGGCGGCACGATCGCGGTCCACCATGTCGAAAATTTCGGAGTAACTAAAGGAGCTCCGGGAGGAGGGATGGAGCCCTTACGGATGAGAAATAAACTAAGCAGTTCCTGCATAATTCATGGGGAGGAAGAAGGGCTACCACGAAGGGTTGCCTCGCGTTACCTTGGTTCCTGTATCGTGCACACTATACATAAACGTTGGCGGAGCGCGCCTTGTGTGCCCACGACGGATCGATTCTGTCGGTCTGGCACAGCTAACCCCCGCTTCAACAGCATGGCGAGCCTCCGATTGGTCTAAAAATCTTGCCGAGAGGCGTAATCCGTTGGAGAAGGCGTGCCAACAACGTTGTACGCCTGTGCTTGCCACGGAGGGTGAATGATGCGGAGAAGGTAGACATCAGCGCAGTCGGCAATCCGCTCCTGCACGGAGACGCTCGTGATAACTCTTTCTCTCGCCTCGTCGGTGTTTCCGACATCCCGGTGTGTCTGCTGTACCTCTAGTGACTCACGAGACGACATTCAAGGTCAAATCTAACATTAGTCTACAGACCTCGCGCATTTCTCGTAATACGATCAATCGTACGGGGTTACTCCATGATATCCGGGTCAAGAAGCAACGGAAGACCCGTATGTAAGGACGCAATGATTCGAAGAAGCTGAAAAGCCGCATAATAAGCATCCGTGGACTTACAGGCGGTCCACGATGCTGGTACCGCCTGATATGATTTCGTCCCACTCCAGGATGGTCTATCAATTCAACAAGTATTTCGGCGAACGGGTGATGAATAGAAAGAGCCAGGTGGCGAAGACCATTCAAGAGGTATGCCGAGTAGTGCAGGACGTTCTGAAGGAGGTGGAAGTGCAAGAGCCTCGTTTCATCTCGTCCCTGACGGACTACAACGGCCGGTTCGATGGCCTCGATGTCATCTCGCCGACGGAGTTCGAGATTGTCATCTATTTAAATCAAATGGGCGTGCTGAATTTCGTGGATGACGGCACCCTGCCGGGATGCGCCGTATTGAAGCTTAGCGACGGCCGCAAACGGTCCATGTCCCTCTGGGTTGAGTTCATCACTGCGTCTGGCTATCTGTCGGCCCGAAAGATACGCTCGAGATTCCAGACTCTAGTGGCGCAGGCCTGCGACAAGTGCACGTATCGGGATTCGGTAAAGATGATCGCCGACACTACTGAAGTGAAGCTACGGATACGAGAGCGTTACGTGGTACAGATCACGCCGGCTTTCAAATGCGCCGGGCTCTGGCCTAGGTCGGCCTCTCACTGGCCTATCGCGCACATACCTTGGCCGCATCCGAATATCGTCGCCGAAGTGAAAGCAGAGGGCTTCGACATGCTCTCGAAAGAATGCATAGGTCTACAGGGCAAGCAATCCGCCATGGAGGGCGACGCCTGGGCGTTGTCGTTCATCGACGCGGAGAATCGACTGTTGCAAGGCGCGAGCAGGAGGCGTTGTCTGAGCATATTGAAGACTTTGAGGGATCGGCATCTCGATCTACCGGGAAATCCGGTCACTAGCTATCATATGAAAACTCTTCTACTCTACGAATGCGAGAAACACCCTCACGAGGCAGAGTGGGACGAGGGTTGCCTGGCCGAGAGGATAAACGGTATCTTTCTGCAGTTGATTTCCTGCTTGCAGTGCCGCAGGTGCCCGCACTATTTTCTACCGAATCTCGATCTCTTCAAGGGAAAATCGCCAAGCGGTCTGGAGAACGCTGCGAAGCAAGTGTGGAGACTCACCAGAGAATTACTGACGAATAGCCGCGCGCTTGAGAAGCTATAATGACCGACGGTATACGAGTGCTCGTCATATGATTCGTGAACTGATCTCGCAATTTCATCGCACGTTCCTCGCGGTTGCAGCATCGTGATTTCAACGCGCGAATAAAATATGTTTAATATCATATAACACGATTATGTAAGAACTGCGCGAAAATATCATCGTTGACTCAAGATTAGTAATATGAAAGGATTTCTGTTGTTGTCATCATACATAACACACTGCCAAGTCAACGATAAGTTCGATCCGCATTTTTACGAATTTCGCGTAATTCCGAATTTTGGAGATTTCATATATCCCGTTTCGGTATCCCAAGAATGTTTAGTGTGTGTCAGCAGCAATTTTCACGCGAATATTTACGCGTGTATGTGATGTTTGGTGAAACGTGATTGCTCGCAGACGATCGAATTAGTGCCATAAATACTTTGACGTTAGAGACAAATTTCATTTCTACTGTTGGCGCGAAATATTTGTTAATTATATAGATAGCACACAGAGAATCATCGCTCATGACCAGTTCGTTGTAACGTCGGATTACAATACTGTACTGATGTGTGTGAAATAATCTTTAACCTGTGGTCTAATATAATAAAAGTCTTGTCAAATTTTAAGTGAAAGAAAAGAATTATTTTTGCGTTTAACTCTTTAAGAGCTTCAAATTTATATGGAGCGATTATTTGAAAAAAAATACACATTTTAAATAATAGAAATTTTCCTTTGTATGATCTGCTTTAATTATTTTTAAGCATAATGTTTTATATTTCAATAATTTCACGAATTTTCAAATCTGTGATTTCAAACATTGTCAATTCAGTTCTTAAAGGGTTATAACATGAGATAAATTCGTGCGTCATTAATGACACTTTTCACGGAAGACTTTTTATGTATCGATTGATAATTTTACCCTACAATTTTGATACCCTAAAGTTTGATCGCGACCACGGTTAAAGGTTTGACGTTTCTCTCTTATTAACTCCCTCGCGCAAACCCCGCCGCCTATGTAAATAAAATTGGAAAGATATTTATTGAACTGTAACGAAATGTGAAATACAATACTATTTATATGGAAGCTTATACATACGCGTGTTCAGATGATGACACATCATGCACACCCACTCCTTATCCCGACACAATGTGCTGTCCGAAAAATTGGTCGTCGTAAATATTGCCGAATCTCGTTGATAGTCGCCGTGCGACGATCGTTAAACGTTTCCGATGAACGTGACGCGAGTTAGGCCTCATAAATTTTACAGTCGCTCCTCGCACTTTTTTATACTTCGCATCGCCATTGGAGATCAAGACAGAGAGAATCGCGAAGCGACATCATGCACGCACATTTTTCTCTTTGTGTCACGAAACTTAGCGACGGTAAGGATATTACAAGCAGATCTAACATTCGAGGACTGGAAGAACAGAGTATTTTTATATTTAGTTCTCACGTACTTTACTGTTGTCCGAGACGATTCACTATCGTCGTTTCACGGCATTTAGAAAATAATTTTGCACGTTTAAGTAATGCACCAAGCGTCAAATGCAAATTATCCCGAGCCCGGCTATTATTAATAAATAATTATTTATGAGTCCGTGACAAAAGGATGATACACTCGTAAAGTTCTTCACGATCTTTTTGTCGGTTTTGTTATAGTCTTCTGACACAGAAATGCAATTACTATTGTCCGTTATTTTTGACCTACCTTTCTTATTGATAAGCTAATTGGATTTTATCTCAATGTTTTTACCGCAAACGTTACTTATACGCGCGATGGCCTATGTAATAATTTGCATCGAGTCAGGCGGGTTTTAAACAGCTGCTGCTAATATGTAGAAGAATACCGTCGTTGTACAAAAATATTTTGTGCAAAAAAATGCAATATAATGATAATTAAACGGGGCTTCTAAAAATTATTATTATTATTATTTTAAATGTTTTATGTGACATTTAAATGTTATAAAGTATCTAAAACCCTGTTATACAAATAATAAAAGATATTTCGTGAAAGGAATCGAAAAAGAATTATATCTAAATATACTGAGGTATCAATTTCACATTTTTTGGATATTATATTAAATTTCACTGCAGTTAACGAATTCAAATTGATAATGACAAATATATATGTAAATATATGTATGTGTGTCTGTATAAAAATGCAATATATAGTTTTTTTCTTGAAAATAGTGATAATCGAGAATATTTAATCATTTTTTCTATTAAGCAAATTGCGATTTTTTTAATATAATAATTACAATCTCTTGAGCAGAATTGAGTTTCTCAGACGACTAATTAAATGCACAATGATAATTAACATGTAACGTAGCGAGTTTATGAAACGTAACTTGTTCTGAATCATTTTCAATTAACGAACATTAACGGCGTAATGTGAACAACCATGTTTCAAAGATACTTTATTCAAAGACTAAACGGAACTAACAAATGGTTTTGCACGCATAATAGATTTGAAACTACGCGTCAGTTGTAAAAGACTCATTTCAACTGGCATAAACGAGCATGCAACTGGCATTCATTCAAACAACAATTACTAATAACATGTTTACCATAGGCATCAAAGAAACTTCAAATACCTTCATCTTTGAACGCGATCTTTGAGGACAGTATCTCTAAGTAATGGATGAAGTTTCTCGTTTATTTGACATAAATTTTCTAGTGTTAGCGCTGATTTCTGGATCTAAGAGACACTGATGCCTGAATTAATCTCTGTGCTATAAAGCATAACAGATTGCATAGATCATATGCACAATGCGACCAAAAACCAAATATCAGTTATAAACAACAAAATATTAAATCAAATACAGAAGAATAAAAAATTAAGTAATATTTCAAACATTATTTACATAAAAAAGGGTGACAGAAAAGAAAAAAAGAAACATAAATCATGTAAGTTGTACGAATGAAAGCATTATGAGGCCTTGTTTTTTAAAATGCAGTTATTTTCCTTTATTTTTTAATGAATACGAGAATAATTAATTAGAAAGCATTAATTAAACCAGTAAAACGAGTCACTCGCGCAAATTACACTAGAATCTTTCAAAAACACGAAAATAAATTAAAAAGATATGTTGACTTATCCGATGATATATAAGGGAAGGAAATTTACATTGGTAGCAATTTCGCATGCGTTAAATATATGTAAAATATGTTCTTCAAAAGAAAAAATATTTAATTTTATGTATAATATATTTTTAGGAGAATTTAACTAATTTACCAGGTGTATTCAAGTCTCTTCGTATCATTTCTTCAAATACATTGATGCGGAACGAAAATAAATATTTTAAGATACGGCATTATTATATATTACATTTATTTATTTTACGCTTCTCGACACAACGAGAGATAATAAAATATCTTGCAAAAATACACCTCGCGCAAACGCAGGGTTTTTAAATTTCGGACATCATGCGCTGATTGCATATCAGCGTAGCTTGACCGTCACGACGAGTTGTACGAATTTACATGCTTATCATTGCAACTTTCAAGGCAGCTGATAAGCAACCGCTTCGTAAACCGCAAAAAACAATAAAAAACAGCATAACACTGATTAGAGAAACAGAATAATTATAATAAATTATTTCCCTTAATGATAAACTTAATTTTGGATTCTTAGCAACATGATAAAATGCAGTCGTCATTAATTAAATGATTCGGTATACGTGAACTTATTAATATATTGCAACCACGATCGATTTCGAGTTTAGTTTCCCAATTCAATCGCTGTTTATAAATAATATGTCGCTCAATGATAGAATTGACATTCGAGATTCATGATCAGCGAAAAAGTCTACGCATTTCATTGATAAAATTCAATTTGAAATAAACAATTGTATCACTGAACCGATATTATCATATTGAAAAAATAGCACTATATTATTTCTTCATCATTTTAGCGACAAGTATGATCGTTTCAGGTATTGCATGTAAAAAAAATCAATAAGAAGAGCAGAGAAAGAACGGACAGACCGAAGAGAAAGAGACTCGGCCGCAATATGCAAATGACTTTGGTTTCTTTCGTTTTTCTTACGGCGATGTCCTGCAAGAGGCCGCAAGGACGCTTTATCATTGCATCGAGTCCTTTACGAACAGTGCTTGTTTATCGGATTCAACGGAGATCGCGTCAGACAGCGCGAGACAAAGGCAGAGAATTCGCGTACATTGTAATTGGCGAGGGACAAGAGAAAGACGGTGACAGACAGGGACAGAGAGAAGATCGCGAAGAAGAAGTTGAAGAAGAGCGTAGGCTGCGAATCCGTGTTCTCCGCGCGCGCTTGCTACGAGAAAGTCGGCACCGATCCGGCTCTCCTCCTCCTACTTCTTCGGGGTGATCCCGGCCCCCTCGGTCGGCAGGGACGCTATAAAACGTTCAGATAAAACCGCGATGTTTATATGCGGGGAGAGCGGAGAAAAGAAAGAGAAAGACAGAGAGAAGTGCCGTGTAGAAGGAGAGATATACCTGCCGGCCGCGCGCGCCGACAAAATAATAAGACAAAAGATGCCGGGGGTGGACGACGACGAAGCGAAGGAAGGATCGAGGAGAAAGAGGAGCGGGATCTCTCAGGTAAGAACGAAAGAAGAAAGAGAGAGCGAGGAGAGGAAACGAAGGTTGGAGAGATAGGCCCGTGTGATCGGGCAGGATGAGGAAGAGCCGTATTGCAGTGGATGCTGCGGCGCACGAAACGAACGAAAGGGGACGAAGGGTGCAGGGAGACGGCCAGAAAAGGAGGAAACCGGACAGGAATGCACGGACGAATGCGTCGTGTTACGGGCTACCCAACCGCGACGCTTATCTTGCGAGAGAGTGAGCGAGTTCTCATTAGAATCTCCTTTCTGCATAGACTCGATCGTACCATAAGGATTCGTCGGACGTTGCGCGGGGGATTACTGTGCGTTATGTATCCGTAATTTACATTTATCGCAACATTGAGATGCGTACACGCGCCATACGATCATCGTTTGTCTCTCGACGATTTCTATGGAGGAGAAACAAGCGGAACTCCCTCGAGATCGCGGAGTACCTTTTGTTCTTCGTGATTGTACACAATGCAAAATTTTTCAGATTTTTTTCAAGAGGTGAACGGAGGTGAAGGCGAACAAACGATGCTCGATTCTCTGTCTTTCCTTTATATTCTATGATATTTTAAAAATAATACCCAAGCGATCAAATTTTTGTCGCGAAAGAAATTGAAACTATTAGAAATCGCCTGTGCAAATTTGGTCTGATTCAACTATTTTGTATATCAATTTTTTTTTTTTTTTTTTTAACAAAGTTGGAATTCTTAACTCACGAAAGGTACATATAATCATTTATATTTTATATTTCAGTTTTCAAAGCATGAGATCTTATATATTAGCTCGAATTTTTTTAGCCATTATTTATCATACTCTTGGTATGTCTCAATTTTATTAGACCCTCGATCGAGTGTTCCTTTCAAAATGAAAAAAAAGGTAGAGAAAAGCGTCTTACCTACCGGTAACGCGATACCACCCGTCGAACTTTTTCTCCTCTTTATGCATGCGTGAGTTTGTAAGACACTACGAGAACTGTCGCGATGTAGGCGCCGAAACGAGATTGTAAAAATAACGCGAGAGCGTTAGTTGACCCCATCTAAACTGCGTTCGCAAATCGCGTCAGAAGAAAAATGTATTTATCGTTTGGGGAATTGTGAAGTATTCTTCTGCATTTAATAA